ACACACAGACACACACAGAGACACACACACACATGTTGGAAACATGTTTCTTCCACGTTCGATCTTCAGCTTCTTATCTTTCTGGACGAACCTGATTCTGTTCAACGTGTTTCTGTTTGCTTGTTTGTTTGTTTGTTTGTTTGTTTGTTTGTCCTCTCTTTGGAGTTAAATCTTGTGCTACTGCTGTAACATGTGAATTTCCCCACTGAGGGACAATAAAGGAAATCTAATCTAATCTAGTGTTCAGATTCACGTTCTTTCACAGGAACTTGTGGAACACGACTGATCTTCTATGAAATAAAACAGAACATCACTCATGATCCATAAATCCTGAGAGACGTGGACGAGAACCTGCAACAGAGATCTTTCAACATTGCTCCTGAGGGTTCTACTTGGGCCGGAGGAGAACGTCTCCCACCAGAACACTGTTAATGTTTATGTGGGGAACATGAGGAGAACATCTGTCTTTAATTCACTGTTTTTGGAACCAATAGCCTTCCTGTTGCTCAGTCCAGACCTCCCCCGGTGGTCACATCTGAGTTTGAGCTTCAGACACTGAAGGGATTGGGTCGTGTTCTGTGAGAACCATCGTTCCGTCTGTTTCTATATCACTAATAATTCATACTAATAAACTTTAATAACATATTAATGATTCTGTCTCATATAAAACCAAGATAAACTTATTTACCTATGTTCGACCTGTGGTGACATCATTCGCAGATCTGATTGGTCGATAGTCTTCCTCCACATGTTCTCTGGACCCTGTCATGTGTTCAGTACGTTACCATGGAGACGTACCTCAGTCAGAAACACATCACCATGGTAACCACCAGATTTGAAATAAAGAAAAAAAACTGCTTTGTTGTTCAGACGTTAAATTTGTTTCATAATATTGATCTATTATCTTTAATTGAACCATTAACAGGGAAATCATTGGCTGCTGTTTCCAGCCAATCACATGACTTTTTCTGTTGTACATAAGCCTATAGTCACGTTTATATACTGAACTAAATATACGTGTAGAAAGTTAATCTCTCTGTCCGAAATGTTTACATATGACACAAATTATTAATGGAGAAAACAGTTATCTAAGTTATCTAATGCATCGATAATAAAATAATGTTATCGTTGTTCAGAGTCAGAATATTAAATTATTTCTGGTATTCAAATGTAAAAAAAGACTTTAAATCTCAAAACTTAGAAACAAATCGACCATTTTATTGGACTTTTTCTTTGAACATCCCTGGAAACAGACACGCGTCAGTGCGACTGAACACGCACGCACACAGACACACACACACA